GCACATAATGATACGTGGATCAATCGGAAAGCTCGTTATAGCAGACAAAATCTTAATTGAATCTATCGTAAGACAAGAGAAAATCAATCTATTGAAATTTAATACCTACGTACATATCTCTTCGATCGGTTGTTAACTGAAACTGAAATTAATGGATGAAAATCTACAATAGGTAATCATATAATGAAATATTTTATTAAGATAAATAATTTATTGATAAAAACAATTGGAAATAATTTTTAAGAGATTTGTATTCTAAAATAATATGTTTAGTGAAAGTAAAAATATGTTTTGTACATGTAGATCAGAAATGTTAATAATAAAATAATGTTAATACAATTATAGCCGAAATGTCTGAAAATGAGTTTGGATTTATGCAAGGCAAATTAAAAGGAGATCCAATTTTTATTACAAAACAGCTGTTGGAAAAATATCATAATCGTTTAGCCAGTCGAATCCATTGCTGGAAATAGGACTCCCTCAGTCTCTTTTAATATTGTCTACACTGGGCAGCTTGTAGCCAATTTCTGGGCATCCATCCCATTATTCGTCTTGTCCACCGTACATTTTGTATTGTCACTAAGTACCCTGCCAGTGCTACTTTAGCATAGTATTTTTTAAATGTTCTCATTTTTCTATTTTCAAAATCGGTTTTGACCTTCAAGTCTATTTTGAAGATATCAAGTACATTGTAACGATAAGAATACCAAAGAGAATTGAAGAACTCTTTTAAAAATAATACCTCAATCAACCATAGGAGCTTATCGTCTATGCCTTGCCTAGCTCAGTATCTTAAGTGTGAGTTCGTCTCGTCTTAAACTGTGGATTGAACCTGTACTCCTAGCTGATAGCAAATAAAACAAATCTTAACCATCCACAAAGAATCTACGTTCCTGTAGTTGGCTGTATACCATATATTAAAAAATTTATTAAAAATTCTTTGTAAAAGGTATATATTTAGACCCAAACGGGCTAAGTTAAAAAGACAAAACGTTTTCGGAATCCATATTCCATCATCTTGGATTCCATCTCTCCAGGAGATTTTACGACAAGCATACGACAGCATTAAAAGGGATCAGATGTGCGGATAGGTAACAAGCTCTCAGAGTCGTTTGAAATAAACGGTGGACTGAAACAAGGAGACGCGCTGTCACCTCTTCTTTTTAATATAATCCTGGAAAAAGTAGTAAGAACCGCACAAATTAGAACAAAACTACTGACAGTAAATGGACCAAAATTACTACTAGCATACGCGGATGACATTGACATTGTAGGAAATACCGTCACCAATGTAAAAGAAACCTTCAATAAATTAGAGAGAAAGGCAAAAAGTACCGGTCTAAGGGTCAATGAAGAGAAAACCAAATACACTTCATCTAATTTATATAACAATGCACGTCATCGGCGTCATAGCCGATAAAAAATATTTAGGGTGTAGGTGTGTTCTTTTTTAGAATCACTTTACCGAGTACACTGGCATTACAGCCACTAGACATATTTTATTATATACGCGTAGAAATCATATTTAAAAATTTCTATTAATGTTAACTTAAAGAAATACACAATAATATGTTTCATTTAATTTGTATAAATGCATTAAAAAGCGTTTTTATCAAGAACATATTTGTTCGGAACACACTGTAACTGTAATCGAACAAAGCTAAAATTTTGGCATAAATTGGTAACACTTATTTGACAGTTGCGGTGTTGATACTTTTTGTACTTCATTATTTTGAATTTTAAAGTAAATATCTCTTGTTTTATATTTTTAACTATTTAATAAAATCTGTTCTTTTTAGAACAAAATTAGTGTGTTTTATTTCAAAAATGTCACGTAAGAATTTAAATAGTCGTTGTAGAGAGATGGTAATACTTTTGCAATAATTATGTAATCTATTTGATTTAAAATGGAGTCAGGATTTTTTTATACTTTGGCAACTATGTCAACTTCGATCTCTGACGTAGATAATGACGTAAGTCGTTATCTAAATTAGATGAAGTATATATGTGCATTAACAGACAAAAGAGACGAGATAGAATAGGACAACGTAACAATAGACCCCTATAACTTTGAAAGAGTGGAGAGTTTTAAATATCTCGGAGCGACTATCACCACAGATAACGATATCACGGAAGAGATAAAAGGGAGAATTCAGGCAGCAAACAGATGTATGTATAGCCTCCACAACACTATTAAATCCAAGAGCCTAACACGAACATCAAAAATCAGGATATATAAAACAATAATTAGACCGGTGCTCATGTATGGGTGTGAGACGTGGATGCTGACAAAAGCAATGAAAAGTAAACTCAGATGCTTTGAGAGAAAAATCCTCAGAAAAATCTTCGGTCCCTATCACGATCCGAATACTAACCAATACCGAATGAGAACAAATGCCGAAGTCAAACAAATGTATAGTGCTAGCGACGTAATCCAAGAGGTTAAATCCCAACGTGTAAGATGGGCTGGCCATGCTCATAGGCTCCCTAATAACCGCCTTACCAAGTTAATCTAAGAAGACGTCCTGACAGAGAGAAGGCCCTAAGGACGTCCACGAATGCGATGGAGAGATAATATATGGTCAGATTTGAAAACAATGGGGCTACCAACTGACTTAAACATCATGGACGACCGTTCGAGATGAAAGCAGGTTGTGCAGTCAGCCAAGACCCACCCCGGGTTGTAGTGCTACCAGAAGAAGAAGAAGAAGAAGAAGAAGAATATTCCATCATCAGTGTCTAAGAGTACATGAATGTAGCCACTAAATATATGGGTAAAAACCCGTTAACAAATAATTAATTACATTTAGTTTACAAATTTTCTTATAATGGTTTAGGATGTTAAAGTTACCGTTGGATTAGGTAACATGGCGACATATGACTCCATGTTGAAGTTGCTAGTCTTGAGACAGTGTGTCTACGAAGACTGTATGGGAGCAACGTTTTGTCTTTTTAACTTTGCCCGTTTGGGTCTAAATATATACCTTTTACAAAGGATTTTTAATAAATCTTAACCAATCATATTTATTAAAAACAATAAAAAACAATCAACCATGCCAAAGCTTAACAATTAATTCGTGATACTTATGGTTTCGATGGGCTGCTTGTGTGTTGTAGATGCTAGGTCCTATAGTGGTCAATAAATTTACATAATTTGATAAGAATTTGGGTTAGGTCCTCCAATGGTCAATATATTTTCATGATTTGATTAGAATTTAGGTTAGGTCCTCCAATGGTCTTGAATAAAATTATCAATAAAGCGGCCAATAAACTAAAATATCAGAAACAGCTTGCATTAGAGACACATCAAAAAGGGTTTAATTTCGGTGTCATTCTACAAAATTACAATTAAACAAATAGCGTCTGGCAAGGATAAAATAAAATATCGCTCTTATAGTGTTCGGAGAAGTTGGTAACTAAAAATAAGACAAATAGAAGAGGTCTAAGAGTCAATGGGTAGGCGTACTTTTCAATCGCACTTGTGGCACGTCCTACCTGCTAGCGCGATAGAATGGCAAGTTGCCGACTCACTTCTTTAAATAAAGAGGCTAATGAAGACATAAAGTAACTTTCGAATTTGACACATTTGCGGAGCCGCGCTGCTGGATCCAGCAATTAAAAAAACGCTGGATCCAGCTGAATTGCTGGATGCTGGATCCAGCAATTGCAATCTCTAGACAGATTCATGTTAATGCACGATAATGCTCGACCACACGCTGCTGCCATAGTAAGTAATCATCTTGATGAGATCCAAATTCAAAAATTGGATTGGCCACCATTTAGTTCGGATTTGAATCCAATAGAGCATATTTGGAATCCGCTAAAACGCCGCATACGACAAAGAAATCCCGTTCTAAATACGATAGAGCAGCTTCGGCTTGCTGCACAGGATGAATGGAATGCTATTTCCCAAATGTTTGTCCAAAATTTACTTGCAAGCATACCAAGAAGGATGCAAGCAGTAATAAAGCTAAAGGGGGGAATACTCGTTACTGAACATACACTTTATTCAATTAAAAAAACTTGTTTAACCAGTTTAAGTTATCATTTAAGTTTAAAAAAACCTTATTTACCTAGCATTAAGCATTATTTTTTTTCGCGATTTTCTCCGCACAACAATTTAAACTTGTTCATTAAACATTGTTAAAATAAACTCTTTTTTACAATAAACGACTTGATTGACTAAAATTTATTTTCAAAAAAAAATATGAAAATTCTAAAATATTCAATATTTTGTCCATGAGTGTAGTTTCGAAAACCAGGTCTCATACACTAGGTCACGATGCTTGTCAAAATTAAAAAAATATAGACGAGTAGAGTTCTTGTGTCAACTAGAGATATGCCTAACGCTCATACAAATCCAACAATTTAGATAGGTTTTTTGAGGTGGCATTTGGCATATTCCAGTGCGACATTTTCGGTTCTATTATGGCCCTCTAATTTTAGATTACATGATCTAGCCTGGCCTTTTTTAAAAGCCTGACCCTTATATGTAGTTTTTTGCCGGTGGCTTTTCTTCACCTAATGTAACGAACCGCACATTTGCCAGGCTATACACTGACACAAAATGTGCTCTCTGTTTTTTCCTCTAGGTGAAAGACTCTACATAGATCATCTGTCAATCCCATCAGATTCGACTGTCCATTCAGCATTTTAACAGACCTACTATGGCTTTGACTGTTTTCCTGTCTTCACTTATTAGATCTTTTTTCATTTCACTTTTTTTTAGCATCTAACAATTTGTTCATCTAAGCTTTCTGCGTCCTTTTGTGTTTGTGGAGTATACAAGACTACAATGTTGTCACGAATGCATTATTTAATGGCAAAAACTCAAGAAAATAGCAAATAAAAAAAAAACATAAATATTATAGAAATGTACAGAAAATACTACAAAGGAATTTATGGCTTACATCAAGTAGTCTCTTTAGTTTCCTTTTGCCTATATTTCACCTTCTTTTTTAATTATAATGAATTAATACCCTTTTTCGTTATTCCATCAGGGTCCGAAGTCTTCTGTGCTCCTGGCGCAACTTGTGAATTCTTCCTATCCTGTTGGCTATCCGGGGGTCTGTTGGATCAGCCCTGTGGCGGTTTGCTGAAGGGATGCTGTTACAGGGGAAGAGTCGCGAAGACGGGACCCAGCGGGCTTTTGGCGATCGGGACGCTAGATGCGCCAGTTGAGACACCAAAAGTTCAACAGTTCGCAGTCGCTGACAATGATAATCGTAAGTGCGGACATATTAGTAAGCATGACTTCTGTTTCACATTGTATATACACTTTTCTAGATAGTTTTAAGCGAAGCAAATATAAATATGGGCTTGTGATTATTGCTTTGATAGTAACTATGACAACGATCACGAACACATAGGGAGATATAATTCTCTCATCAATACATTCCCTCCAGTGGTTCTCAACCTTTTCATCACTGAGGAACACTTGTACCTTTTAGAACTCTTGGCGGACCACTTACATATTATTACTAATATTTCCTAATAATAGGTAAAATGAGATGAACACTGAAATTTTACTAATGAATTTATTATTTACAAAATAAAAAAAGAAAATACATAGTGAAAGACAAAAGGTATATGAAAAACAAAATAAAAAGTCATAGATACCACCAAATTAAGACGTTAATGACTCCCTTGGTCTTGCTTCTTACTTGAAAGTTTCTCAATATTTGGATCGAAAGAAGTAACGCTAGTCTCATAGGAGCATTTAAATTTAGCAACCTATTTCTGTGTTTATTCTTAATGACATATAATGTTGAGAATGATGCCTCACAGAGATAAGTGGAATGAAAAGGAAGAAGAAGTTCCAAAGCTTTTTTACTTAGCAGTGGACTTTCATCAAGTAATCCTATCCAAAAATCTGCAACATTTTCGCAGTGAGATTTTATCACTTTTAAAGTATTATCGGATGAAATTTCAATAAGCTGTTCATTTTCCTGAATAGACAGATTATTATTGTGGGTAGCTAAAAAGGGATCAATCACCCACAGATTATTTTTCCTCACATCTGTATCAGCAGGGAAGTACTTTTCAAAGTAATCTTGAAGCAACTTAATGTAGGACTTAACCAGTGAATGTAACACATCCTCATTTAAGCCTTTATTTTCAGAGATAAAATCTGAAAACAAGTTGAACATTTCAAACGATCCTTTTCCAGCTTCGGACTCCCATAGCAACAATTTTTTCTTAAATGAATCAATTTTTGTCCAAAGGTCAAATGCGGTTTTAGATGGTCCCCGCAGGCCTAGGTTCAATATGTTGAGCTGTTCAAAAATATCTGCTAAAAAAGCTAACTGGGCCATAAATTCTCCGTCACGCAGTGTTTTCGCTAAATCAGGTTTTTTTTCATTAAGATACATACATACTTCTTCTCGAAGTTCATAAAATCTAGCTTAAACCCGGCCCCTGGACAGCCACCTAACTTCGGTATGTAGAAGGAGATTGGAATGGATGGATCCCATGTCCTCGCATAACAAAGCAAACAATCTCGAACTAAGAGCATTATTTTTATAAAGTTCACGGCCTTTACCACAGTAGTCAAAACCTTGTTTAGGTCGGAACTTAATCTTTTGGCAGCAAGCATTTCGCGATGAATAATACAGTGTGTTAAAACAATATCACGGTTTCCTTCTTTCCTTACAAAACTTGGCAAGCCTAATTTGTGACCTGTCATTGAACTTTTTAGGTCAGCCGTAAACAAGGTCAGAATAGCCTTGATGATTTCCAATCTCCGATAGGAGTGGCACAAAAAGAAGAAGAATTTCACTTCGCGAACCATATGAAAACAGTTCGCGGACCACAGGTTGAGAATCACTGATGTAGGGTCTGTACAAAAATAATAATTTGTAAAACTAGGACTTAGAAAACAAAAGTTGTCATTTTAAACAATAATAGAAAGCTCGATATCTTTTAAGATATCAAAAATGTCTACAATGTGACAAAAACGATAGCTGAACAAAAGAAAGCAGTGATTTGTAAACAAGTATGTACTTTAGTACTTATTCCACTACTTTAGAATTATATCCAAAGGAGAATATTGTGAGCCAAATTCTAACTTTTATATTGCAGACCTCACTTGGGTCATTAACAGGTTGACTGCCAGGCGGCCGTATACAGGAGCGATTAATTACAGGGACCCGATCCGTCAACTGCGCATGTGCGAAACGACTGCATTCGAAATATTTCGAACCTTCAAATGAAAATGTTAAGCGGTATCTTGCCTTGTCGAATAAAAATTGTTTTGAATAGTTCCCTATTTACGTAATTAGTAAATATGTCAGTGAACTGTTTTGAATGTGGTAAAATTTTCTCAAATCAGTCTAAAGACCCGTTTTCACGCTACGTCTTATTGTACGTTTTGTTGGTCATATAAAACGTACGACAAAACGTACGTTTTGTCCAGTGTATACACATCATCGAGCAAAAAGATAAAAGAGGGAATGTAAAGGTAGTGGGAACAAAAATATTGTTAGACAGGAAGTGCCATCTTGAGAGGCCACTTTAAACAAGGAAAGACAGTCTCTTTCCTTGTTTGAGAAGTCAAATTTAGTTTGGTTATGTATTTGTTTGTCTCAATTGTCACATGAAATTTTATTTATATTAAAGTTTTTTACCAATTGTGTCACTTTTTAGACTATTATAATAAATATTTAATTAAAACTTTCTCGTCTGAAAAATATTTTATAGCTATTGTTAATAAGTGTTGGAAAATTTAAATTTAGCGCCTTTGCATTTCCGGATATGTCCGCCATCAGAGGCCACTTTTTTGGTCTCCTTTTCATAACGATTAGATTCCCTCTTTTATCTTTTTGCTCGATGATACACATTATGTGTTTCCTTCCGACAAGACGTACGTTTTGCTGTTTACATGCAACGTTTTGTTGTATAGGATTTGTCCTATCCAACAAAACGTACAATAAGACGTAGCGTGAAAACTGGCCTTAAGCTTTCTACGCCGATGCAATGTGGAGAAAATGTGCGTTTAAATAAGTGTCTGGAAGATTTCCAGTAACTTTTTTTTTCAAACCGAAAGGACTTATACATTAATGAAGTTTATTTTACAGAAATTATGAAAGTTGTTGGAAAAATACAAACACTCTGTTTTATGTCCGACATTACATCAGTTTTTTTATGGAAGAGTATTGAAGAATTAAGCTATTTTAAACACGTTTTAGAACGAGACAACTTTTGAAAACATCCACCTGAAGACAACGATTTTGCCAACCCATACAAGATTAACCGTAATATGTCATTTAAATTTAGTTCACTAATAATTTGTTTACTTTCAACAACAATAAAAAAATTTAAGTTTATAATAATACTTATATAATAATTTGTTATAATCCTTATCTTCACTCATAAACGTGTATTCCGTTAAATATTTTAAACTATCTGGTGCAAAGTTAACAATTTCCATAAGCTACTACAACAAAGTAAACAATCTTGGACGGTTAATATCAAAGTCGTCAATATACATTATACATGTGATTTTCTTTCTTATTACTCAGAGTGTAACAATGTTACAACTATGTACCTGTAGAAATAAATATTGTAAAATTTCCTATTTTTATTCCTAATCGTTTTTATAAACTTGCTCAGATTTTTTTAGGTTGGAGATTGTCCATCGTTGTCACTTTTGATGTCATTTCAAATATTTGCACATGCGCAGTTGACGGATCGGGTCCCTGTAATTAATCGCTCCTGCTTAGTGGTGGGCTTCATAGTTCCTTTCTAGGAACTAGTTCTTTAGATCTAGTTCCTAAAAAGGAACTAGTTCCTGGAACTAGTTCTTTGGAACTATGATAACTTTGCGATCAGATCGGTATGATCAATCTTGATATGAATCGGATCGAGTGTTTAGGTTTGATATTCGACATCACAAATAAAATAAAAGTAAAATATGTTAAACGATGGGAAACTAAATTCGAAGGCATTGGTTTAAATAATTATTTCACGAAAATAACGAAGTGGTTTTTTACTTTATCTAAATATATTTTGCTGAATTTTAAATCAAAATGCTAATATTTTTCTATGATTGTTGATTTGTTATTTATTTATTTTCTCTCTAAGAATTTTTTGTTCTTCAAAGATTTATTTATAAACAAAATCTGTGCGATGTTAAACACATTGTATATATTTATATACTTTACTTACATAGCAATTTTTTTTGACATAGAAGACAGGAAGTCGTAAAATTTAATTATATCGTTGAGTGTAAGAACTACATTCATTTTACATATTCCCAATTGTCAATACAAGCACGTGAAAGCCAAACAGGATCATACTGATGTGTATCATATGATTTTAAAAATATTTACTTTTGAAACTATAAGCGTAAGAATTCGGAACTATTTCATTTATAATATAAAATGAACTAGTTCGTTTCTGTTCCTGTTTTGCCAGAGGTCGTGTAGAGAAGCAGAGTTATTGCAGTATTCGACCGCTGTGGCATACAGTCGTCGCATAAACATTTCAGTTTTCATTTTGGCTGAATAGTGGAGACTAAAGATCTTTAGATCTTTATTTAGAGTCATCATCATCTTTGGCTCTACAACCCTGTGTGGGTCTTGGCCTGTTCAAGAATTAGTCTTCATTCCCCCCTATCTTTCGCCCTGGCTTTCCAATTTCTGATCCCTAGATTCCTCAAGTCATCTTCGACTTGAGTTTTGAATCTAGATCTTGGCCTGCCTCTCTTCCTTGTTCCTACTGGCTTTTGACAGAATATCTGTCTTTGGGGGTCTCCAGTGTCCATTCTTTCAAAGTGTCCTAGCCACCTTAGTCTGTTAATTTTAATAGACCGGACGATGTTGCATTTTTTATAGCATTGATACAAGTCAAAATTGTAGCGCCTGCGCCATATCCCGCTTTCTTGTACTCCTCCATGTATGTGTCTAAGTATTCGTCTTTCAAAGCGGCCTAACAGTTCTTCGTCGCTTTTTACCATAGTCCATGTCGGTGATGCGTATGTAAGGACAGGTTTAATAAGAGTTTCATATATTAGTATCTTGGGTTTTCTGCTAATTATGTGTGATGTTAAGAACTGCTTTAGTCCAAAGTAAGCTCTGTTCGCCAGGTATATTCTTCTCTTAATTTCTACGCTTACTAGATTGCTGTTACTTAGTTGTGTTCCAAGATATATAAACTCCGAGACCCCTTCGAATGTGTGTGCTTCTGTCACCAGATCTTGTGGTACCGCTTTTGATGTGCTGTTCGT